TGCCTCAGCAGACCACCTGTGGCAGGATTCCCTTTACAAGAATGAGGTCATGTCAATTTCTCACCCTCTGCTCCCTTCCTCACTCTCTCAGAAGGCTGGCTCCAGGCTGCTCTCACCTGGACTAGTGTGGCTGCCACCATCCCTCCCTGACTTGCAAAGACCAATTCTCCTTCCTTAGTTCTAGGCACAAGCAGGGTGCGTGTGTTTCTTTTATTAATTTATGTGAATACATAACTGATTCACATGTACAAAATTCAAAAGGGTATGAAGTGAAGAGTAACTCCCACTGTAGCCATGTCTGTGGGTAACCGCTGTGATGAGTTTCTTGTGTATCATCCCAGAGATAGTTTTGGGATTTACAAACAAACGTATATATTTATATGAGTACTTTTTTGCATGTGCTACACATGTGGGGTGGTATATCTATGTTTTTTGTTTTTTTTTAAACTTAGCAGCATATCTGGACAGACCTGCAGTATCAGTCCATAAAGAGCTGCCTCATTCTTTGTAAGTGCTGCCCACGGCGTGGAGGGACGACAGTCTGCCAGTCTCCCTGGGGATGGACATTTAGCTGGTTTCATGTTGCTCTCACAAGCCGTGCTGCAGTGTGTCACACCTTACTTGTGTGTCATTTTTTACTTCTGGAAGTGTATCTGTAGGATAAACTTTAGAAGTGAAATATCTAGGTCAAAAGTATGAAAAGCCATAATGGTTTTTTCTTTTGATTTCATTTGATGTTTTTCATTATATGAAACATCCATCAGTTTAAGTGGAAACTATATTGTAAGGTATTTTTAGAGAAGTCTCAGCCTCCTTTCCTGACCCTTCCACATTGTTCCCCCCTCATTTGGAACCAGTGAATGTGAGCGTATACATATATTTGTCCCCCTACCCCTCTTCCTATACATAATGGTAGCTTTCTCAATATACTGTTCTGTCCCTCAAATCTGAAATTTCAGATGAACCATTTTCAGGGTGCTAAAGTAAAACCCAAGAACATAGTCCCAAATAAAGATTTTGACGTGATGGTGTATGGCCAGCCTGGTGCCCTGGGGTGAGTGGGTCCTCAGATGTAGTAATGTCTTGGGCCACTCTCTCCTAGGGCTCGCCCAGCCCCCAGGCGCCAGGTGCTGGCTAAGCACTTGTCAGCATGACCTCATTTAATCCCTGGGACAATCCTTAGACCCTCCTGTCACTCCCAGCAACAATACCCTACTTGCTGTGTGACTCAAGGTCACCTACCTGACCTCTCTGAGTGTCCAGCTTTCTCATCCCAGGCTGCACTTGGGGGCCTCTCTTGCCTCTCCTGGGGGTTTCTGGGGTTCCCTGTGTCTAGAAGGACCCTGCATTTGCTTCTTGTTCTCTTTTTCTCTGTCCTGACTGGTTTGTCCAAAACGTGTTCATCAGCCAGTCAGAACTTGTTCTCTTTTTTTGTTTGGTAACCATTTTTTAAATTGCAGCATGATTAACATACAATGAAATGCACAGATCTTAAATGTCAGTTTGACAGATTTTTAAATTCATTCAGGTATGTGCACATCTCTACGACCAGCACCGAAATTGAGAGGTAGAATGTTTCCGTTTCCCCAGAAACGCTCCTCAGACCCTGCCCGTCAGTGTCTTCCACCCCGAGGTCACCATGATTCTAAGCTCTAGCCCTATGGATTAGCTCTGCCTGTTCTTGAACCTCATGTAAATCACACAGGATGTTCTCTCGTGTCTAGTTTCTTTCACTCGGTGATGTTTTTGAGATTAATCCAAATTGTCACAGTATCATTAATTCATGTTTTTTGTATGAATGCACCACAGTGTTTTCATCCATTCACCTGTCCTTGGAGGCTTGAGTTGTTTCTCATTTGGAGCCTTTATGAATAAAGCTGTTACGATCATTTGTATGCACGTCTTGTATACAGACGCACTCATTTCTCTTGGGTAGAGTCCTTATATACATATGTACTCATTTTTCTCAGGTAGGAGTGCAGTTGTTGAGTCATAGAGTACATGTATGTTTAACTCTCAGAAGCTGCCAAATAGTTTTCTCAGATAGGTGGACTCAGGAGGGGAGAGCTCAAAGCAGCTGTAGCATTGGCTTCTCATGGGTCCCCCGGCTCGATCTTGGGAGCTCCAGCTCAGCGTTTTTACCCTGGGAGCCCTTCTCTTTCTAGGCCCTCACTCCTCTTTCTGTCTCTGAGGGTCACTGCCAGCAAGGCAGAGGGGCTTCAAGAGTTCCCTGCGGTCAGGGCTCAGGCAGCTGGTGAGCCCTGGCAGGTACCTGATCTGACCTTGGAGGCATCCCAGGCCTGCACAAAGGGAACAGGTGGGGCCTCCTGCCCTGAGGCCTCTTCCTGTCCCCACCCTCTAGCTCTTGCCATCTGATTATCCCCTGGCCTTGGTGGCAGTGTCCCACCCAGGCACACCTGGCTGTGATGCTGACTAACTCACTAGAGAATGATTTCCTCTTTATTTTATCATACTTCACAGCAGATCTAAGTCCCATCTCCCATCTCCCACTGAAGCTGAGTTTGCAGTGCAGATAGGAGGTTGGCTCACCACTCTCTGAGGAGATGGCATAGATGTGTCTGTGAAGCCGGGGACTCCCAGAGCGTCTCCACTTGTCCCAGTTCCTGGCTGAGCCTGGTATCTGCCCACAGCAGGATTAGTTGTCCCTGGAGTTTCTAGAGGGACTCCCTTTCCCATGGGAGTGGCAGAGGGCTCCCATCTTCTGGGACTTTGGGCAAGTTGCTTAACAGCCTTGGCGTCTTCCACTAAAATGGGTGATGGTAACACTTTGTGGGGTTCAGTCATGTTTTCAGCATGTATCCAGGGAGTTTCCACAGTTGCAGGTACCTGGAATGCAGAGGAAAATCAGAGCGGGGCCCTGCCTTATGGTGCCCAGGGATGGGGACAGACAGCAAGTAGAGAAGGCACTCAACAGGGTGGCCCGGCTTGTACTGAGTGCCAGCCACACTGGGGCGACCGGTCGCTGAGGGAAGACTGACGGGGATGGCCTCTGAGTGCGTAGGGAGGGACACTTCCACCAGAGAGCCTGGTCTCGTTCTTGTGACTTCAGGAATGCCACTCAGCCCCTTCCCTCCCTCAGATGTACCCCCACAACCCGGATCCCAGAACTGCAGAGGTCCAAGGTAGGCAGGTTCTCAGGGACCCACCTCATGCAGCCCCTTAACCCTCCCCCTCTGCCCCACCCCCCTCCCCTGCTCACTGCTTTCAACCCTTCCAGCCTCTTGTGCGTGCGGGGCACCAGGGCATGGTGGGAATAAGACAGCCGAGGTCTTAACCTTAGGCATGCACTATCTTGTGGGGCTCGGTGGGCAGTGAGCAAGAAAACAAAACTGTGACAGTGATTTCTGTATCCTGAGCATATGAAGAAAATGAAACGGGGTGATGAGGGGAGTGCCTGGGAGTGCGGGGAGTGGATAGTGAGGTTCTCCAGGTATTCTCATTGGTGAGGGAGCAGTGAAGTGCTGGTTACCAGCAAGAGGGTGGCAGCTTGTGAAAATCTGGGGCCAAAAGGTCCCAAGGGTGCGCCCAGGTTGGTGACTGCTGTGAGTGATGGAGAAAGGCCAGACCAGTTGGTGCAGGACCGTGAAGACAACAGGATTATGGATTTATTGTAAATGCAGTGGAGAGTTCCCAGAGGCTGAATGGATAAAACCTTGACAAACATTTCCCTCTAGTAGGACTCAAATTGACCCAGGTACTGCTAGAGAAGGGGCGGCAGTGCCAAACCTGGGCACGCCCCTGAACCTGGAGGAGTGTCCCTGCCAGGGGCCCTGTAGGCACCTGTCCCCTCTTGCTGGGGAAGATGTCCTAGCTGGGGTTTGAGTCTATGAGAAGCGCTGTTGTTTCCAAAGAAGCAGGGGAAGTGGGTGGGCCGAGACTCACTCCTGATTGGCCTCTCTGGACTGTTCCGGCCACGTTATGCAAATGAGCTGGAAGCCCTTCCCTCTGCAGGGAGCGGGAACCTAAGGTCGGGGGGCGGGCATGGCGGCAGGAAGCTCACTGGATGCACAGGATGTCAGCTCCCTGCATTGAGTAGCCAGTGCTATGCAGTGACCACCAAAGCAAAGTAACATCTGTCCCCTGGGCTGAGGCCACTAAATCAAGGGGGCAGTGCTCATGGGTCTGATGAGAGAATGGGGAAGGGGGGGCAGGGGAGGATCTGGCCACACACACGTGAGCCATGGGTCCTTTGATCCAGAACACAGGTTTCTCACTGTAGCTTTTTTTTGTGTCCCCTAGAATGCTAGTAAGTGATGTGAAAATGACGCTAAAATGATCTAACCCCCTTATTAAGTTATACCGTATCCATAAAATGGCACTACACTGCCTAGCCATTAAATGATGCCATGATTGTAGGTTTTTTTTGACATGTGAAGATGTTCACAATACATTGTCAAATGAAAAAAAGCTGACTTATAAAACAGTAAAGAGAGTACCTGATTTTTAAAATATAAGTATTCACATATTTAAATTGTGGATGAAAAGCAAATGTTAAATGTCAGAGTGGATTAAGATGGCTTATATTTTGGCTTCTTTCTAATATTTTCACAGCTTTATTGAGGTGTAATAAATTGTTCATGGTTCAAGGGTTCAATTTGATAAGTCTTGACATATGTATTGTATATACCTGCAAAACCGTCACCTTACGTATATTTTTAAATTTTTCTTAAGTGAAACTATATTGTGCATTTTTTTGTTTTTGACGTTTAAAAAGGGGAAGTGTTATCAACCATTGAGGCTGAGCCAAGAGGCGAAAGGATTAGTGCCCACGCCCAGAAGGCTAGGCTGTGGCAGGCAGGCCTTTCTGGAACCTTGAAAGGGAAGGGCTGGAGACCAGAATGGACTTGGGATCCCATCTAGGGGCCACCTTCTCACAGGCCTGGGCCCTTCCCTGGAACTCAGTGGGCAGCAAGCGGCTGGGCGGGGAGAAGGGAGGAGGCCCGGGACGAAGCATCCAGACGTACCTTGCTCTCTTCCAGGAGGCCTCTGTAACCTGTGCTCAGACAGGGCCAACAAGGAGCACATCCTGCAGACAGGGGGCGTCCCGCTCATCATCAACTGCCTGTCCAGTCCCAACGAGGAGACTGTGCTGTCCGCCGTCACCACGATCATGTACCTGAGCTCGCCAGGCCCTGGCCCCCACCCCGAGCTGACCGCCATGCCCGTGGTCCAGTGCATGCTGCGCTTCTCTCTCTCAGCCAACACGAGGCTCCGGAACCTGGCCCAGATCTTCCTGGAAGACTTCTGTCCCCCAAGCCAGGTGGCTGAAGCCCGCCGCCGGCCGGCTCACTCTGCCCTGGGTATCCCACTGCCAAAGACCGAGGCCCCACAGCAGCCCTGAGCCAAGGAGACCTCAAGGCCATGGCACCCTTACTGCCAAAGACCAAATTCCTGATGGGGACTTAGGCAGCAGGAGCAGCAGAGCTCCCAGTGGGCACATTCTCCCCAGTGGTGCCTCTTCAGCCATTTTACAGCTGAGTCTTCCCAGCGTGACAGGTATTTACACTGTGATGAAAGGCATGAGATGAGTTGAGGAAGCCAGACTTTGAGACACACGGAGAAGCAAATCAAAGGTAGTGCCGTTTTCACAGTTTTCACTCTCTGCCAACTGGAGGTGAAGGTCCTGCCTCCTGACCCACCCCACTGCCAGGCTGTCACCCTCCTGTAAGAAGCAACCGGTTCCCTAGATCCAGAGGCTTTGCAGGTGGTTCTGAGGAGCAGCTGGGCCCAGGGCTCAGAACTGCCCAAGCTTGAGGAAATGCACATTATCCCTTAACAAGTGTCTGGAGTCATTCTGAGGAATAGAAGTGAGAAGTCTGGTTAAAAGTATCTCAGGGCTCTGGGAAGCTGGTAAGACGCCTCGCCCACTCCAGGGCTGTGGAGCCTGGGTACCTGCCTCACAAGCTCTCCAGGCTGGGCACTGGGCATGGTGAACAGCGGTCTAGAGAACTCTATGGTCCAGGGTGAACTGTTTATCCACACAGACTGTTCTGCCAGGCACCGTGTTAGGGCTTCAAAGATGAACATGTGGTCCCTGCTCGAGTGACAGAGCCCAGTGACTGTCAATGTGGCCGTCAGGCATTGAGACCAAAGCCATGGGGGTGATGACACATCACGACACAGACAAAACCCTTGGAGCTGCAGCTGCTTCCCTCCCCACTCCACGGTCCCCACCCAAGAGCCCTGGCCCTCCTCCTCCGCCATCAGGGTTAAGTGGCGGGGAGGTCCTGTCCCTGGAAGTGCATCAGGGACACAACACAAGTGGTGCCCAAGGGAGACAGAGGACCAGATACTGACTGTGTGGCTCAGTCCAAGTGTACGCTGGTCAGCACAGGAACGGATGTGGGATCCCTATGGAAAGCTGGGGTTCAGGAGCAGTGGGGAGTCCTGGCCATCTGTACTCCTTTAAGGTTGACCTCTTACATGACCAAGGAAAGGCAGATGTGAGAGGAATGGTTGCCAGGTGGGCCTGGCATTGGGGCAGGTTCTGGGGCCACCGGAGATAGAGGAAGGGAAGGCCTCCTGAGCCTCCAGTCCATCTACTGTCCTTTGACTTTTCCAAATAAAGGGCTTGGAAAGAGCAGTGAGCCAGAGTGTTTTATTAAAAGGTTCCTGACTGATTTCCCTTGTTTCCATGCCAGCCATCTCTGGAGCTGCCAGGTGGCTGGCCTGTGAGAGCAGAGATTACTGCATCTCCCTGGTGCCAGAGGTCACTGCCACAGTGATGCCCTGTCACTCAGCTATGTTGGGGTTCCCTGCTGGCCTGCCTTCCCTTCCTTCAGCTACTGTCCACGGCCCTGGTCCCTTGGCCTACTCCTGCAGCAGCCCTAGGTCCGTCCGTCCTGCTGCACAGCTCCCCGCTTGCTGCCTATGATCTCCCTCCAGTTGTCACTCCAGGAGAGCAGCCGTCTCCTTGTGGGGGGCAGGGCCAGGTGCTGGTTGTGGCAGCAGGTGAATAAGATGTGCTCCCAGCTTGGGGTCTCCTCTTGGCCTGGGGCACGGGAAAAAGACAGCGAACATGCAATCCTATAATCTGGTTATTTTTGCTTTCCCTCCAAAATCCCAGCAGGCCAGATGCCTGGAGGTTGCCAAGGAAAACAGATCCAACCTCGAATGGTGTCCTTGTCATCAATGAGCAGGTCCCCTAAGACCACCGTCTTGTCCCTCGTCAGGATAATGCGCTCTACAAACTGGGGCCCCAGGTGCTTCTCCACCCAGCGATACTGTGGAGGGGACACAGGTCTGTCAGTCGGGCCTGATGCCGCCCCCCACCCCTGCATTCAGGGCCAGTGAGAAAGTAGGTGTGAGTGGGGTCTGCAGCCATTGAGAGATGGGGCTCCCCTCTCCCCCACCCTGCACTCCCTGTGTTTCTGCTGGCTTATTTTAAAAACGAGGATTTAGGAAGCTAAGTTTGCCTAGGAGGTGCTGGGGCAGCCACACCTTCTCGCCCACACAGTGTTCATACTTCATCAGAGGGCTGCTGCAAATGAAGACCTCGGTGCTGCAGAAAAAGGGCGGGTTAGACAGTTCCGGTGGCGCTAGCCGTTGCACCCCGCGGCCCCTCCCTGCCCCCTTCCTCACTCCTGCATGGCGTTCATCTCCCGCATGGCTTCCAAGGCTCCGGGGATGGGCTCCAGGTCTAGGAAAAAGCCCGGGGCTTCATACACACTGGCCACTTTGTCCTGAAAGATAGTATTCCGGTCCGGGCTTCTGCCTCCAGCAGATCTAGCCCCCGCGAAGACTCAAAGTAGGGTTCCTGGGGAGACTCTTCTAGTCCCGGGGTGAACTGTGGATTCTGAAGTGAGTTTTGTTGATTTTAAACTGGAAGGGGGTGTTCTCGGGAAATGGAAAGCGCTCATCCCGCCCAAGGGTAGGGCTCCTTACGCGCAGGTGCCCTGTGGGGTCGGGGCTCCCTGCTCCCGGGGCGCCCCGCTCCGCGCCCACCACCCCCACTCCCTACCGCCAGGTCCGGCCGCAGGGCTCGGTACTGCTCGCGGGCGAGGAAGCCGCGGCGCTCCTCCAGCGGCACGTGCGGCTCCCCGGGGAACCGGCGGCGGAAGCCCCGCAGGAGGCCGGCCTCGAAGTCGGCCAGCACGCCGTCCATGTCCACCAGCACCCTCACGGGCCGCGCACGCCCCGCCGCCATCGCCGCCGGGACCGGCGGAAGCACCGACAGGCGCTGGGCGCGCGTGGAGCCGGGCGCGCGGGCCGCCGCTTCCGGAGCCGCGCGGAGGCGGGGCCGCCAGGCCTCACCCAGGACGCGGCGCGGGGACGTCTCGGCGGCTCGCCATGCGGGTCTTCAGCGGCTGCAGACGTGAGCAGGGGGACCGGCAGGGACGTGCCTTCTGACGGAGTCCAGGCTCCTTCGACCTGCGCGGCTGGCTCCACCTTTCCTAGAATCCACGGGCGGCTCTGCCCTCCCTGCTAGTGCTAGTGGGGGCAGAGGGTGCAGGGACGCGGCGGGACCCGGGACCAGAGCTCCTGTGACGGCAGCACCAACCCAAGACCCGGGTAACGGGGCTCCCAGGAACTGAAATGAATGAATCTGTTCAAGACAACTGGTTCGTGTGAGCCGAGCTCCTTCCTAAGAGACGAATTCACAAACCAGTTGGCTTGAAACAAGGGAGCGTCTCCTTTATACATCCAATTCCACCTGGAAGAGAACGATTTCCATCCAGCTCGGGTAAGCTGGACTGCTCTTCCTGTGGAACTACACCTCTCTAGAATCGGCTGTTTATATCCCTCTAGCAAATGCTGAACATTGCTCAATTTTGTTGACGCCCCGTTGTAGATTTCAGGCAATTTCCTCACTACATCCAAGTATAGTTCCCCATCTGAGCACCCAAATACTTCCAAACCAGTGTAACAGAGGCATTACAAAGGGGAGCCAGCATCTCATTCTAAGGTGACTGAACTTAAACGCGTAAGAGATAAAATCGGCTGTCCTCCCTGGTTGGTTTTCCTCCACTGAGCCATGTCCCTCACACAAACTGGGTAAAAAGTCCACTGTCAACTCTGTCATCATCATCATTTTAAATCATTCAGCTTCACTTTCTAGACCCTAAGCTTCCTTACTGGAAAATTTAACACCCTGAGCAAACATGTTTACATAGAATTTCCTAAAGTCTGTTGATACTACCAAAATGACAGGCAGAATTAACTGTCCCTCCCTCAGAACACTTTATTTTTGATGAGGCACTTATCTTCATAGAATAAAAAAAACCCACATTACAAGTTGTGACAAATCAAGGACATCTCTTTCCCAGAAGCCCCATCATTCCTGAGAGAAGGGTGCAGACTTCCTACCTCGGAGGAGCCATAATATAATAGAAACTGTAACTCAGGCTAGTATTGATCTGTAGGGCTAACACATTATAGTATAAGCAGAGGGATCCTGGATCACAAGCCGTTGTCTCCGTTTTGCAAATGCTTTACACTGTAGGAAAAACGTAACACCTCCACAACCTATAAACCCCCTTATTCTTCCCAGAGATCCAATAGTTCAAATGAGTCAGTGGTGACACACTCAGCTTGAGTCATCTCAGTCATAGGAGGGGCTTTAGAAGTGACCTAGTTTTTAAGTTAGAAAACTGAGCCCCAAATGACAAACCAGCAGAACACAGCTGGTCAGTAACACAGCTAGACCTCAGAGCCAGGTCTTAATAATGGCCAATTTAGACATTTAATATATGTAGCATGTTGATCTGGAACTTTCTGCCTAGAACCCAAAGAGCTTTCTCCTATCTTCTATGTTCGTATCACCTGAGGGGACTCAGATTGAGGTCCCACCCCCCCATCTAATTAGGTGGGCCCTTTCCCCCTCTTGAGCTCTCTTCTTTGGCCGCCCACCAATGAGAACACCTTACAGGGGTTAGAGGACTTAAATTGGTTTTTTTTAAGATTTTTTTTTATTGGGCAATTGGGGGATGGGAACAGTGCTGGGGAATTAGGGGAAGGGGAACAGACAAGTTGCTGTCATTTTGTTCTTCAGTCTAGTTGTGGAGGACGTTGCTTCACTGGCTCAAGTTGGCACCATCATTGCGCTCTTCCCAGGCGAGGCACATCAGTCGCCAGCTTCTGGAGGGCCGTTCACTGCGGCTGCTGGCTACACACGGTAGCCCATGGCAACCCACTGCCACAGGGGCTGCAGCCTACGCTGTCGCCGGCAACTCACGGCAGCACAGCTCCAGGTTGAGCTGCTGTGCAGCATCTTAGCTGTGGAGGGCAGTGTCACTGGTCCGCATATGTGGGATCCGAACCGCGGCCCTCTGGCGTCCCAAGCCAGTTCTTAACCATCGCGCCACTCGGCCGGCCCGAGGACTTAAAATTTTAAATGTTACTACTCAGCACAAAGGGTAGGTGGGAAGAGTCTATTTGGGACATCAATTATTTATATTCCTGAATTTTATTACCACCGATATCAGAGTTAGTTATCATTCTGCATTTTTAACTCACGCTGTGACTCTGAAACTGTTTTCTTTTGAGAGAAGCCCACTTGTCTCTGGGCCTTCATTAGTCAATTTTAACTTGAATGACTCGACATCACAAGGCAGCAGGGTTTAGAGTCACAAAGAAAACAGCAACTGAACAGCTAGAACACTTAATCTCAAAAAGATGACACAGGACACACTTTCAAAATTTGTACATTGTTTACTTTAAGCAAAGGTCCAGGATTGTGAAATACAACACACATTTTAAGGATGAGATTTTTCGTTTCATGGTCAAGCACCAGCGTCATGCACACAGCGTCAGGTTTCTAAGAGCGCTGCCCCAGTGGGGTCCCTTCGAGACTAAGACCCACTTCTTGTATGGTCACCGCCCTTGCTTGCTTCACCACTTGGAACTGGTCAGTTTGAGCTACAATGGAGCTTTCTCTGCATAAGAGCAGGAGGCTTTGCGCCCCAGCCAGTCACGTTAGTTTGGTATCTGGCTTATTTCTTAAGGTTCAACAATAAAAGGCAGTTTCTTTGCTTTGCAGGCAGCAAGGCATGAGGCGCAGGCCTCCTTAGTATTCCATTTGGCACAAAAAGATGCTTTTTTTTTTTTTCTTCTTTTTTACAAAGGGCACTGACAAGTTAGGGCAATAGCAAGACGGTTTGGTAAAAAGACAACCCTGTGTTGGGGGCCTGGGGACTGTTTACTGGCCTGTCCAATCAAGGCTTGGTAAACCCAAGTAAAGCTGACAAGAAAAGGGGTTTAAAAACCTCAATACAAAAGATCCTCTAACACATTTGGAACCAAATTATTCTTAAAAACACGGTAGTAAGCGTCACAAAGCCTTCCCTCCAATCTACTACTAGAAAACACTCATGCCATGGCCTACAGACCCAGAGGAATCAGGACACATCAAGAGAACCTGTTCTTCAAAAAGAAAAGAAAAAAAGACAGCAGTACATAAAGTGCTTCTTTTTTAATGAAACAAATCCAAAAGATGTACAGTCAGGCTCAAGTTGTGCAGTTCACAAGCGTGGAGAAAACAAACAGACAAAACGACAGTTCAGGACAGTCGCAGCTAACCCAGGACGAGGCTGGACTTGCCACCAGGGGGGTTTCTTCGGGACGGCACTGGGGCAGGCGCCACTGGGCTGGGCACAGGGGCAGCGGGCACAGGCTTTTCCTCACTCTGCCCTAGGCCAGCCTGCAAGTCTGTGTCCACATTTTCTAGGAAAACAGAATGAAATTAAGGCTAATAACTATTTCCTTAAGTAAAGATGAAGAATCTAAGATTTTTCTTTTGAGGATGGTTCAAAACATAATAGAAATATAAAGAAGAAAACAGTCACCAACCATGTTCTCACTGCCCAGACTTAACTACTCATGTTTTGACATATTTGTCCCCAGGCCTTTTTCTCTGTGTGTTTTCTCAATTACAAAAATTTATCAGTATTTTAAATGAGAACATTACAGTTAAGCTATAGATCTGTGACCCTCCAACCCACCTGCATGTGGGTCTCCTCTTTCTATTTCCAGAGGCCCCACTGCTTGTTGTGTGCCTTCTTCTAGATCATTTGTTTTATGCATATTTTACTTCCAACAGATGACATGATACTGTTTTGTTGTATTTAACATAAATGATATCGACTTCCTTTTTTTCACTCTTTAGCAAAATTACCCATATTTATACACATGGTCGTAATTCACTTTGTTGAATTCACTTGCTTTATAGTGTGTGTATGTGTATAATTTGTATATATTTCTCCAATCTTCTACTGACAGCAATAAATTGGAACCAGCTCAACCATTTCAAAGCTGTTAATGCATATACACTGGAACGCGTGCCCACGGTGACGCATATACACTGGAACGCGTGCCACATCTTCAATTTGAACACCACCCTCTCAAATAGCTGTGCCACTTTCTACCCCACAACCCATGTCAGAATTTGCTTTCCTTCCATCTTTGTATATCCGCCACCCGATAACCACCTCACTTTAATATTTGTCAAACTGATAGGTGAAAAATGTTACTGCATTCTGTTTAATGTTACATTTCCATGGTTACTAGGGGAGGTTGATTTTAACTACACAGATAGCCAGTTTAACCATCACCATTTATTAAAGAGTCTACCTTTCCCCTACTGATTTGTAATAACATCTCCATTAATCAGGTCACTCCTATCTCTATTAACTGGACACTTTCCACATTCAAGTCTTAAGATTAGTGTATTATTATCCAATATCCTAGATATTGCTTGAACTGATTCACTGAATGATTTGTGAAATTCCCAACAAACATATATTCTTAGCCAGCTATAGTTTCCATGCTTAGAAAAGTCACTGACTCAAAATCAAGAGTAATTGCAAAAGAAAAAACTCAGTGTTTTCTGTGAAAGGAAACTTCTATGAAGAGTTTAACAGTTTTAAGGCATGTTACACTTATTTTTGATTTTTTAAAAAATTCTAGGTCTCATTTCAATGTTAAGCCATCAAATTAAATTCAGTTGCCTATTCTAACACTTGCATCAGAATAATCACACACACACACACACACACACACACACACACACACACCTTTAGTGAATATGAGACGGGAGAAAAACTACCATAAGGTTTAGACATTTATTCCCTCCCCTAATTTGAGAGTTACAAAACCCTGGAAGCAGTGAGGCCCAAATATTGGTTATGATGTATACTAAGTAAGAACTTCTAATTTCAAAACAACAACAACATAGTTTCTTTAAGTTTCTCAAAGACTAAACATTAAAAGTTCATGTTGGGCTGGCCGAGTGGATCAGTTGGTTAAAAGCTTGCTCAAGAGTGCAAGCTCTGAACAACAGGGTCGCCGGTTCGATTCCTGGCTCGAACTGAGCTGCCACTGAGCTGCCAATAGGTGGTAGGATGGCTCAGCTAAAAAAAAAAAAAAAATTTTTTTTTATGTTCCTAAAACCACTTGTACCAAGTTTAGATTTAGCCAACAGAAACTGAGAAGTCCAAGGGGGAAGATATCTTAGATCAGAAACACAACAAAATCTCAGAAATATGCTACTACTGCTTTTAACATTGCATTTTCTTATTTTTTAAAAGAAGGGCGCAGCTCACAGTAGCCTATGCGAGGATCAAACCGGCAACCGTGGTGTTATCAGCACCACACTCTAACCAACTGAGCTAACCAGCCACCCCTTAACATTGCACTTTATGAATTTTGGGAACATTTTATAGAAATAGCTTATGACACACATAATATTCTATACTATTCAACTACCAGTAACAATCCAGTATGACACTTCCCAAAACGATGGCCCTCACAGTTATGAACTGAAGTTTGGCAAGAAAGGGTCTCCCCTCAGTGTCCTATTGCTACAGTCTTGTTACACAAGAAACAGGATCACACGCATAAACATTAAGTACCCAAGTCCCACAGTAAGGGTCCCTTAAACAACCTAGGAAAATATGTCTAATTTACTGCAAATACAAACAAAAACCAAAAGACACATTTTAGAACAGTCCAAGATAGATGAAATCAGACCATGAACTCAGCCTGAGCCAGCGTTAGCAATGCAAGCTGTTTCATGTCTGCGGCTAGGACGTGAATCCCCAGCTGTACAGGGTCTAACTGAACTCTCCACCATCTGTCTGGACAAGCAGTTAATGAATACTTCTGAAGGACACAAAATTATCATGCACTTCTACCATGGTAGTTTATTTTCAGAAAGTGATGTTTAGATAAATCAAGCTCATTTCCTCCTATCTTATACTTGTCTTTTATTATTAATGGAACTGTTTTGTCTTTCACAACTAGGTAACAACATAGCAAAACAGAAAAAAAGATGAGAAAGCACATATGGAGACAAAACGACATCAGACCTTAATTTAAATGCTTGTTTGTCAGAAATAAATACTCCAGCCAGAAAAGATGGAGGTTTGTTTGTTACTCCATGTCATTTGTCTGCAATCAGATAAGTACAGGAATTGAGGGTTTAGAAACTTCTGTAGTAACCTGACAGAGAAATCTTTTGTCTGAATCATAATAATAATAATAATAATAATAATAATAATAATAATAATAGTAAAAATAGGGTTTTAAACAAAAACACTTCTACCATAATATCCATCTTATATACCCCTGACTTGTCTTTCTTCTTGATGCATCAGTAAGATACTTGAACAGACACCTCTGTCAGAATAGAAAAAAAATGATTCATTATAAAGATCAAAGAATTAGGACCGCCAGAAAATTCAGCAGACCATCTAACTTGCCTGAGGCAGTGAAAGACTTCTGCTTAAGTTTCCTGGATCTTCTCTCTCTTTCTTAAAAATTTCCAAAGTCCTCCCAGCAACCATTCCTGTGTTTAATTACCCAAAAGATGAAGGCAATTTTCCTTATAGCCAAACAAAATCTGTTTTACTTAAAAGGAGCAGAGTAGGTTGGCTTTGAAGTAAACTTGGCAACAGGACTGGGGTCGACCTCTAGTTCACCAGATGTATCTTGAATTACTAGGCCCCTTGTCATTTCATGACAAATGATCTAAAAGTAGCAGCAGTCAGGAAAACAAAATAACCAGGTAGCAAAACTGATGATCATTAAAAAAAAAGAAAAAAGAAAAATTAAGGACTTGTCATACTACCCAAATCAATGTGCTATTTACGTGAAGATCTATAACAAATTGAGCTAATGACCCACCAGGACAAATGACACATTTTTTATAACTTCATCAGGGTTCTCACCTACTTCTTCAGGCCCTTCAAATTGCTAATTATATCCATTGGCCAAAACTAACGTATAAAGATTAGTTGATTATGGCTAAATAAGGTCTGCCAGGGGAAATATTTCACAATATGAAAAGCAGCAGAATCGAAAAGCCTAGATTGTTTTGACCTCCAGAACAGTCTTTTCAAATGAAACAAATTGGACACGAACAATAACAGGTCTATCTTCAGTCCAGTGAAAAAGTAATTTGTCCAGTGAGGAAGAACCCAGGTTACACTCACAAAGGTTCAGGGGATTCTCCTCCCACCATGCCCATCAAACACTGAGAGGACAGAAGAGAAATGTGGTTCTTAAACATTTGTTTCCCTGGAAGCCTGCATCCCAAAACGTAAGAAAAGGCCACGAGGAAGCGACTTCTGGACCGGAGGGCCCTGTGACTGCTGCGTTTTGGTTCGTTTCACTGAGTCAACTTAAACCCTACTGCTTTCATTACACTCCTCAGCAGTTCTCTGACAATCGTTACGGAAATGCCAATAAATACTTCAAAGATTTAAAATAATTAAATGATGATAGCTCACTTCCACATATAATTACTCACATGGACGCTAACTGAAAATTGACATCTACCCCCTAAATCATCATTTACAAGATCACAGGGTTACCATTGTCTTGACGAATAAGCACCTCATATAAAATCAAACAAACTTTGTACATTCAATGCTGTGGGCCAAGGCTGAACTGAACTGCCAGAGCCATTTACTAAAAAGCTCTCAATAAGTGTAACAAATACCAGCCTGATTAATGTACATACATTTGTAAAGGATTTTCCGTTTTTCCTTTTTCTTTTTCCTGTTACATGTCTAGCCATGCTCTCACTGCCGGCTGGTACCAAATGTGGCCATGTTTGCTAACTTCCAGTTTCATTTTTCTTTCTTCTCCGCTCAAGATTATGCTGACACTTGGGCAAAGCTAGGTTTTACTCCCCAGTCTCTTTCCCCAAGACATGATTTGAATCAAAATACCGATATTCTAAAACCATTTACAGAATCAGAAATCTGGGCTTCAGAAATACTCACCATGAATGTCACCTTCTCCCTGGAAAAGAAAAGACATTAAAAATTTACTTTAGATTTTAATTTTGCAACACACAAACAAAGCAGTCACAGTTCAAAGAGGCTATTATCTATCTGAAACCAAATGTTTTCATTTTGATGCAGTCAAGTTCAGGGTCAGGCTGCGTTATAATAAGCAACCTTTATTCAACCAGGAAAAATGCTACACAAAAAACGCTGCTGGACAAATTGTCCCAGTGTTAGTAACACACCTAAAACTCCAAAAAAACCCTTAACATCTACACTGAGGGCTGATATCAATTAGCATATCAGAGGATCTTTATCAAATGGAAAACTGGTAATCTATCCTTCCAGTCTCCCTCTCTCTTTATCTAGGGGTTGAAAGACATCTATCAGTTCCAAGGCCCGTTTTACAGGTCTCCCCACACTAGATGGCTGATGCCTCCATGTGCTCTGAGGTCCCTACCCAGGACCCCCTAACAGGCTTTCCAGGCATGCAGCTGGGGGCTTCGGGGCAGTGCTGCTGTCTCCTGGAGTTCAGCTTAAAACAACCAGGCAACAGTTGCAACAACTGTAACAGTCCTTGAACTCAGAAATGCTACTATATATGAGATAAACAGGAAGTGAGTGTGAGCCAGAAGTTACAAACGTCAATACTGAAGGACAGACCAGTCCTCATGGTAGAAGGGACACTAGAACAGACCAAACCAAGGTCACGTTAACGCACTTCCTGACTTTCCTACCCTCTAGTTACCAATCTTCCATCCCCAACATGGCCAGCCCCTTTCCTAACGACTTCTATGTAAAACTCCAGGGGCAGAACTAAAGCCTTCAGTACAGCAGCGGGGAATCCTATTTCTAGATGGAATTAACCAAACAGCCTGTCATTTCCCCCACGTTGTCACACTGACCTTCAGATCGAAGAAGTCGCCTGAGTTTGCTTCCGAAGAGTTCCTTCTCTGGGGTCCAGATGATTCAGAATCTTCTCGGCCACCACTAGACTTGGCACCTGAATCAAAATATACCTTCTTGAGGAATACAATAGGAAGGCCTAAGGCAAACACTTTTTTAATGAGTGGTATTATGTGCTAGTCTCATATTACACAATGAGCAAACAGCAATAGGGAGGTTAAGTGATGACTTAAAAGTTCTACAGAGGGACCGAATAACCCCATCTGACATGGCTCCTTGCTCTGATCCATCACATAAACTCACGGTCTTTCGCATTTCTTAGTCCCAGTGTTTCCTCCAATGACAAGTTTTAACTGTTGTCTATCTCATTCCGATTTTGCTCACCAGCACAAAACCAGCTGTGGTTACTCATGTTGGGCCTGTTCCTTTGACCAGAGATCACAGACATAGAAGCAGTACCTGCCGACTTGGCCCACGAAGGGGGATTTTCCTCAGATGTCCCAAAGATGCTAGAGGCCATTTTGTTCTTCCTCACGGGCTGTTCTGTTGGTTCATCAAAGCCCAATGAAAAATTGGATCCACCACCTGGAGGCCGCAAAACCCTAGGAATAATGGCAAAACATCAATTTCAGACGATACCAAAACATTTCTTGGCATAAACGCCTTTCATTTAATTTCCCTCGCCCATTCATTCCCTTTACCTCCCATAAGAGAGCTGCTAATGGGAAAACAGTGCTGACTCCATCAGTGTATCAATTCAGCGCTGGATGTTAAGATACTAAATGCTGCTTTATGTTTGTAGTGAGCTTGTCCACCACACCAGGCAGCTGACACAACCCAAAATTCACCAAAAACGACAGCCTGGCTGGCGTCCCCTTTTAGGAAATGGCAAAAGACTTAATGGACCTGCCTACTGGCTAGTCATTTTGATTAAACAAACAAAATATATATCCCTAACTCACTTCATTTACCAAAATAAGTTCCAGCTAGGTCAAATATTTTAATTTAAAGACTAAAAAATCCTGGAAGAAAATCTGGACAAATGTGTCCTAGTTTTGAAGAAAAGGGCTTTCTTTCTAAACACAAGATAAAAGCCAAAAACCAATGAAAAGATGGACAAACTTAGCAAAAATACACATATTTGACAAAGGTTACTATAATATTATTATTATAGAATTACTATTATACTCTTAAAAATAATGAAAAGAATTACAAGAGAAAAATGGGCAGAATGTACCAACAGGCAATTAAAAAATATGGATAGCTTCTAAACATTAAAAATTCAATCTGACTAGCAAATAAATAAAATATAAAACAAAATGATAGTTTTTATACTTATTAGACTGGTAAGAATGAAAAAATGCAAACTCAGCATTACTGAAATGTGAGTATAAATTTGTACAAACTTCCTAAAGAATATAATAATAATGTGTAAGTTTGCATTTTATTGGGTTGTCGGAAAAGTCATGACGCATTTTTGCAACGAAAACCAAAAAATACGTCATGACTTTTCTGACAACCCAATACATGAATCAGCATTTCTGCTTCCAGAAATTATCCTAAGTAGATAACCAGACGTATGTACAAGGATACTCCTATAAATAGGTTAAACTGTTGGAAATACCCTAGTTATCCATTAACAGGGGTTAATTATCAGTCTGTCCATACAACAGAAAGCTATACACATTAGGGTAGGATTTACTTTTATTAGTAGATAAGTTACCCAAAACACAGTGAAGTAAAAAGGATGGAACATACAACCAAGATTGCTCTACCCAGCAAGGCTGTCATTTAGAATTGAAGGACAGATAAGGAGCTTCCCAGGCAAGAAAAAGCTGAAGGAGTTCATCACCACCAAACCCAGTATGACAAGGAATCTTTTAGAGGAACTTCTTAAAAGATGGGAGGAGGGTTAAGTACAAACCGGTTGTTATTCAGTAGTCATGGAGATGCAGGGTATAGCATAAGGAATATAGTCAATAATATTGTAATAACTAGGTATGGTTACAGATAGGTACTAGATCTATCAGGGTGGTAGATGGGAATGGGGTCGGGGGCAGGGTGAAAAAGGTGATGGTAGTAAGAAATACAAACTGGTAGTTAATATAGTACAAGGAATATAATCAACAATGTTGTAAAGATCATGTAAGGTGCCGGACGGGCACTGGACTTATCAGGGGGATCACGTCCTAGACTGTGTAGATGCCTGACCAATGAATGCGCTATACACCTGAAGCTGAAATAGAATAATGTTGAATGTCAACTATAACCAAGAATATAGGTATATAGTCACGGGATGTGGAGTCCAACATAGGGAAGATGGTCAATGGTATTGTAACAGCTACATAGGATGTCAGAGGGGTAGTAGCTTGAGGGTGGGTTATCACTTTATGAGGGGTTTACATGTCTAACTATTATGTTGCTTTGTACACCTGAAACTAATAAAAAAATTAATTAAAAAAATAAAGATAAAGAGGTTGGAGAACAAATATAAGCCCAATTACACGTTATATAAAAGGATGTGTACAGAGATACACACTAATCTGTGTGAATTGGGGTAAATCACTTAACCTCTCTTGAGCTTTGGTTTTAGAAGATAATAGTAGCTGCCTCATAAGACTATTACAAGGATATCATATATATTGTGATTAGAACAGTGACTGGAACATGGCAATCACGTGTCCTAGCTACAATAATCACACCTAGACATAAATGTCTGAAAGTACAGTTACCACAATGTTATCTAGGGGATTTCTCGTGAATTTCAATGTCTTTCTTATGCTTCGTATTTTTCTGTATTGCTATGGGTTTAAAATCCTTTTAAAGGCCGCTTCTGGGTTCCAGAATTCCCTGACAACTTTCCTTCTGTCAGTGCTCCTTTCCCCCCAGGCCATTATCTGTGACCACTTGGGGGTACCTGTGTTCACTTGGCTCTCGACAGAAATCCCAGCTCCTCTGCTCCCTTGGGTGCAGGCAGGCACCCTGGCCTCAGGTCTCTAACAGTGTCCCTCACAGGACTGGCACACTGCCCCTTTCTGCCCGAAGGGTGATCTCCTGCCCTGTCCTGCATCGTTTCTTGCTTATCCCTGCTACCACAAGCCAGCATAGGCAAGGCTTGGTTAAGCCTAAGCAGAACTGAAGGAAATCGGACAAACTTTGCCAACTGCCAATACAGCCTCCTCTCAACTGCATGTAGTTCTTATCATCTTCACTAATGCAGTTAGGCCACTTTCTTCAGTATTCCACACACACTTCTGGCTTATCGCCACCTCGGGGTATTTACTCCCAGACTTTCTCCTGCCTAGAGCCCTCTCCACCCTTCCCTCAGAGACTCTTCAACATTCAGCCCACCTCCTCCAGGAAGCTGACTAGCAGAGCCCTCCATGATCTCAAAGATGGAACCGATGGAACCGGTGGAACCCAAGAGGAAAGGATGTTCGAGATCCTCTCCTTCTCATGCCAACTCTGTGTAAAGGGCCAGATAGTAAATATTTTTGGCTTGTGGGTCACAAAGTTGTGCGCAACTATTTAACTCCATCACAGCACAAAGGTGGCCACAGACAATGTGAAAACGAATGAGTGAGGCTGTGTTCCAATAAAACTTTATTTATGGACACTGAAATTTGATTTTTATGTCATTTTCACAAGTCATGAAATATTCTCCCCACCCCCAACCATTTATACATATAAAAATGTGGCGCCAGGAGGGTTTGGCCCACAGGTGGTCAATAGTTTGCTGGGCTCTGCTGTTCTACTTCAACAGCCTCATTTTGAAGAGCGCAAAGACAGGCCCTGAGAAGTTCCAAATAAACTGCCCAACATTAGTTAACTGACAGAGACAGGACCAAAACCCAAATCCTCAGGTCCTGGCAGGCACATAACGAACAAGTGCTCAAAGTCCATTTAAATAGGGGAACTACACAAAGCCATTTTTCTCTTTAAACTACAGACCTACATACTTGGTGCTTTGATTAGTTTTCTTGTTTTCTAATCTTAGACTGTCTTATATTTCTTATAAGTCCTCTAGTGTTCTCCCCTGAATCTAATATTTGGGTCTGCTCATAGTAAAATTCAGTACTCAATTTACACTAAATAAAAATGTCATTATTCCCCCCCCACCCCGGGAGGGTAAAGCCCCATTGTGTTCTTTTATAACATATCAACATTTAAAACCCCACTGTGTTTTTTAAGTCTCAGGTATTAAATATCTACCTAGATTAAATTCATTATATGAAGATGAATGTTCAAGCATACATTTAATACAGATGATAATCTTAGATTGGCTTAAATTATTTAAATCATAATTTATAAATTCTTAATAGGCTTTCTCTCATGTTCAAGTTTGAAGCAACTAGGTTTTTATCACTTGTACCCCAAGTCAACAGACACTTAAAATATTAATATCAAAGTTAACTTGCTTCTCGGTCAGCCCCCTCATTCCTAGAGATTAGACTGATTTTCCTTACCGTCATCATTAAACCCTCATGAATTATTTTAGCCAGATGAAAATCTCCAGAACCCTAATGGGCTGGGAAACATTTTTTGGCCTTAAAAAAAAGAAAAAGACACTAGTATCCAAACACCAGCTTTAAAAAAAAAAAGTCAGAGCTCTAACCAGCCCAACTTTTTAAAGGTTTGTGTTCTTCTTGCAATAGCAGGTAATACCTACTCCAATGACGTCAGTGTTGTAGAGCCCATTTGTAACAGCCAGACATCCCCAAACAAAGGATTTGAATCATAAGACAGAAATTCTATCTATTTTACTTTTTAAGATCCTACTATTCTTTCTGAACTACACACATGATAATTCAACCAGGATTACATATTGGAAACTCAACAAAAATGTCTCCATGTCCTGCAGATAGCAATTTTTTAAAATTACTTTTTCTTTCTTCTCTCTTTAAATCCCGGGGCTCCCATATGACTTTTGCAGATCATTTCCTAACAGACTAAATTTACAACGTGTTTATGGAGCTAGGAGAATGTTACTGGAGAAAAGAAGTTTAGGAGAATCAGGTGAGATTATAGAAGAAGGAAAGGCAGGAAGTAAATAAAAGGACAACGCTACAGTCTTGAGATCACAGTACTGGAGAGAAACTGATAACAAAAGGTGAATTAAAACACTGATATTTGCAGAACCAAAAATCATTTCTGTCTCACATTTCAAACATACATATCAAAGAACTAGTGTCAGGATTCATTTGACCAAGTTACTGAAATTCGTTCGTTATGAAGCACTAAACCGCACTCAATCCCAAAGGATAAAACCTCAGATTTTTTTACACATTAACATTCCAACCACTACATTCTGAACTGCAGAAAGTTGACCCCATGGCATAAAACGAAAAACCAGGGTTCACTTTGGTCCAGTGTCCTCTGGAAAAAAATGATCTCACTGGTAGGATGACAACAGAAGAGGGAGTGACCTTATTTTTGTATGTCTACACTACCCAAGTTCCCCCATCCTCCTCTCAGTAACAGCTAGTTTTTAAAATATTTCCCCCAATTTTCTACATTGTGAAAAGGAAAGGGACAAGTTAAAAGGGAATGTCATTTCCAAAGCTCCCTTCTAAGACTCACTGCTGAGGCATGCTTTTGTCCCCAAGTTCTCCAACCCCTGTGAGACACTGCTGTTTCACGGCTGTCTTCTTAGCCCCACAAAATGGCTCCCTTTGTGCCACTTGCTCAGGACCCCAAGGCTGGCCACACATGACTGCAGGTCATGATCAATGCCCAGAAAAAGTGGAATCTAAGCTTCCTCCAAGCCTTGAGCAAGGATCCCAGAGATGCCTGAATCCAACCTTAAAGAACAGTGAGCAATTAGCCAAGACAATGTGGACATGTTCCGGCGGATCCCAGCCCTTCCACCAAGTTAGGCAAGGGCTTGGAAAAGGGTCCCAGTCCAAACACTGTGCCCAGTGTCCCCCACCACAAATGCAGTGGCAGGAGTGGCCAGAAAGGCCCCGGCTTTCCAGGTGGAGATAGTACGGAAGAGACAATGGATGTCTCCAGCCCCGCCCAAGAACAGGAAACCTCCTCCTGCAAGGGAACCGGGGCCAAATATGAACTCATTTAACAAACACCAAAGGAGGCAGCGAAAGAGGTGGGATGCAAAGACCGAGGTCCGAAGGTTTGAGCGCAGAAAACCCACTTGGACTGGCGCATTCCCCCTCCCGTTCGGAGGTGGGCGCGGGAGGGGAAGGGGCTGGGGTCTTTCCTTTGTTAGCAGAGGGGAGGCACTTCACAGAGGGCTGACGGTAGGGTCCTAGAAAGGGGTGAGGGGTCGCTAAGACCAGCCCCGCCCGACCACAAACGACACCTGCCAGATGGGCCCCGGTGGGTAGCAGACCGCAGGACCTGACCGCGGCCGCGGAATCTGATGGCCACGCCGGTTGCACGGTCGCCACCTGCTCCCAGCCAGTGACAGGAGCGCGTGGCCCGGGGGTGGGACAATGGGGTCTGACCGAGGCGCCCCGTGAGCTGCCCGGGCACGCGGGAGCCAAGACCACCACTGGGGCCCGGACGACCGCTTTGAAAAGGGGAAAGCGCGAACCCTCTCCGCATGTCTCAACTAAAAACACGCCGCGCTGCAAAGGCAAGCGGCCCCGGCCCTCCCGGGCCCTCGCTCCAGGATAAGAATGAATGGGAGAGGAGCGGGAATCGGGCGGGGCCGGCGTGCCAGGCTCGCAGAGCCGCACAAAGGCGGCGCCGGCGGCCAAGCACCGCCGCCCGGCCGGACGCAAGCGTGGCGCCCAGGGCACGTTACCGCCAACGACCGGGTGCCCAGCCCGCGTGGCCCCCTCTGGGCAGCGGCCCTCCCGACCCCGAGCCCCGCAGGCGCGGCCCTGCCACCTCACCGGGAGCTATTCCTGCTGTTGGGGTCGACGCCCTTGAAGGTGGTGGTGGTGGTCATGGCGCCGAGGAGCGAGGTAGGCTGGCGCGGGAGCAGAGCGCTGAAAGACCGGGTCCGAGGGGCGCAGAGCAGGTACCCCACGAACAGCCGGCGACCGGGGCAAAAACCTCCGCCACCGCCTGCCTGGCTGGCCGCCGCTTTTATAGGGCTCTCAAACTCCCGCCCCCATCCTACAGGCATTGGCCGATTCAAATAGCTCTCTTCTTTTCTATTGGTTCTCTGGAGTGCCAAGCATCGTGCTGCGTCACGACTGGCTGCTGTGGCCCCTGCTCAACCTAAACCCGCCCGCTTCCTGGTCAGGGAAGGTCTAAGAAAATTCCCCCTCCCCCATTCCAAAATCTCGGCGATGATTGGACAAAGGACAAACCTGCCCCGCGCTCGGTACAAGTTATGTTCGCTGTCACTTAAAAAAGTTACCTGACAGAGGGAAACGCTCGCTCTAGAGGAGTTGGAACCCACAGCTGAGGGCAGATTTGTTACGATACACTTATTTGCCTTACTTACGGTGGAATATTAAGAGCATGCTCCTTAAGGGATGAAAATTACTTCTCCAAATTGACATTTCCTGAATAACTACTGTGTGTCTTGTCTGGAAGCTAAACAGTCCCAAATCAGAAGTCAATAACGGAAAGCACGCCAAGATGATCCCTTTTAAAACGACTGGAAATTCTTTACATTTTAATGTTACTATTTAGCTGTCATGGGCGGTGCGTGCACTGGACCAAAATTACAGTCGTTCCGATTTGAGGGCTTGTTCTAAGGCTGGTTAATGCCTCGCGGCTGGGAATGGCCACCTCCCTTGCTACCAAGACTATCCCAGAGCTCTGCAGCTGTTTATAACCCTTAAGTCATGACTCTTCCACCTGTCTGGGTAAATCTATCTTTGCAACAAATGCAGACACACTTGGAGGGCTCAGGAATAACTGTTTACAAGATAATTGGAAAGCCTTGTGCAACCAAGAGTGGAAGCCTTTCCCTGTCATGCGCGTTTCCTCAAGGCAGATCTCTTTTTCAGTAATTCCATAAAAATTGAACTACATTCCTCTTTGCATTGGCCTCCTCCCCCAACTTACAGGCAGTTAGAAGTTTGTATTCTTGGTTAACCACTCTTCTTGGGCTTTCATAAAAAGCCAGAGATCAGTTCTTCTCTTCTAGGAAGCATGGATGGTGTCTTTATGTGCTTATCACAAAAGCAAGAAGCACACCACTTGTTTGGATTAAAATCTTCCCATCCTTAAAGGCTGGGCCTAAATTTCCAAAAACGTTTTAAAAACAAAGAACCCTTCAGACCAATCTAGCCAGTGAGCATACAAGACTTCCTAAAAAAATCATATAATTATAGACCAGGAGGTAGTGGAGTTATGATGGTTGCTAGCTCTGGCTCTCATGGGAGAAATCTGGGTTTGAATCTCCACTCGTACCTTTTCTGATCACGTGTCCTCATTGGTAAAATACTCCAAAGTTGTGAGGACTGAATGAGGTAATGGATGTAAATTGCTTGGCCTGATATATAAGAAGTCATCAAAGTGAGCCATTTTTATTTTCAAACTTGTAAAAGTATCGCTTTTTAACCTGAAATTGTTTTTTTGTATGTTAAATGAGGGGTTTGGGCTTGACTCTTTAGGGTCCCTTTTAGCCTGAATTTAGGAATTTGTACTTGACTTGCCTTACTTCCTCCATCCCCTGTAGTCTAGTAGAAGACAGGTTGAGTTTGCTGTGGCAATACAGCATTGGACTGGAAATCAGCCTAGGTTCTGGTTCTGCTCCCTCCTATGGTAAGACACTTCTAGGTTACCTATGCCCTTGAGCTGTTTCCTCATCTGTAAAATGGGGTTAACAGCACCTATTCTGAATTATTGTGAGGGTTTAGGAGATAACTGTAAGAATGTTGTATTTGGTAAATAAAAGCTTTCTATTAGAGGCACCCTACCTTGGCTGCACATCAGAATAACCTACGAGCTTTTAAGGCATACAAATGAATGCCAGGCCCCATCTGACATCTACTGAGTTTGGAATTTCTGAGGGTTCAGTCATGGGGATCTTTAAGAAGTTAAACGTAATTCTCACATATACCTTGGGATGAGAACCTCTGCTTCAAAGGTAAGGAGTCAGTCCCAGGAGAACCCTTTTAATCTAACCTCGTTTACGAAGAGTAAATTTATGTAAAACAGACATCAGAATAAGGCCATTTAAGGCAGGCCTGTTTGGTCCATTGTATTTTAAAGTAAAATTGCCAGAAAACTCCGGAATAACTAGCCCTCCTATTTACTTGTTCATGTACTGTAGGTTTGACTGAAATCAGTACACTCCACTTGCTGCTGTAAGATGGAGATTTGGGGTAAAGCAGATATATGTAGCGGTGCTACAATAACTTTTGCTCTAGGTGACCAACTCAGTTGAAAATGGGACATTAATAAAATTGCATTTTCTCCAAAAGATCAACACAGATTAGGATCAAAAGATACAAAAGGATGGGGCAATGTGAACATGTTTTTAAAATCACTGAGGCCCATCACGATTTTTAAAATACCTATCTAGGGTTCTGTATCAATACAAAATTTGTTTCAAATTCTCAGGTTAACCTAAAAATCTAAAATACAAGACATGAAATTTTATGACAAGGAATGGTCTAATAGCCAGCAGTGTTTTTCAAACCTTTATAAAGCAGAATCCAAATATATAATATAATAGATTAACAGAGCAGCTGTGATTGAAACTGGGCAGCTCTCAAATTCTGGCCCTCTCTGCCTCCCCATCCTTTGCTGGCCTTTCTTTCCACTCTATCCACCTTTTTGTACAACCCCAAGGTTCCATAAGATGCAGTTTTAAAACTACTGCCCTATATGCATGTCCATTTTCATCTGCTTTCTAAGTATAGTTAAGGGCACGAGAATGAGCACTCTTCACAACTTTTCATGTCTGTAAGCAGTTAAGTGCTCTTCAGTTTCCTTAGTCCCAAGCTGCCACTTCCCTACTATATTCAAAGTACTAGCCATCCATTTGTAATTCAGTGCAGACAGCCTAATAATCAGCTTACCCAATAGGTTTCTGTACACCTAATATTCTCAGAATTTCCTGAGAACACAACCTATTGTTATGAAGCAGGTGGCAAGAAATCTATTTAAAAGATGTCAAAAAGGGTGTAGAGTCCTAAGTTTCCTTTAATATGGACAGAAATCCCATTGGATTTTTTAATTTGTTGCCGGATATGTGGCAAGTTTTATTCAAGAATGCAATGTACAACTTACTTGAAATAGAATAATCGGGAAGTTGTGCCTCACCACTTTAACCAAACACAAAAATACGCACTAACACAGCATCTCTGAGCTCTCAAGTATGTTTTTGCTTACAATGTTACCAGCTTTTCCAAGACTGAATAAAGTGTTCTGAATCCCCCAAAAGTTTATTCCAGAATGCCAGAGGAAATGGGCAATCGACATGGCCTCAAAATTGGAATTTACTCCTCCTAGATTCAGCAATTAGGTTTGAACCAATCACTCTCTTAGATCAGTGTCTTTCACTGTGATCAAATACACACATATTAGGTCGAACTATATGATGAAACTGCAGGTATTTGGCTATTTTTGACCTGCAAGAATAGCAACTGCTTATGTTCATGCTTATGTTCATCCATAATTTAATACATACTCTTAATATTTTCTATTTTATTTCATTATTTACAAAAAAATGCTGGTCATGTGCTTTTGAACTTGGTGTAATGACTGAATTAATGAATGGCCCACTAACCAGTATTTCTAAAAAGTTTTGCTTCTCAACCTCAATATTGCAGGGTACCCCATAAGTGTATCACTTAAGTATGACTTAACCACACATAATTTACACATAAATTCTGCATTCATCAACTCTAAAGCCAAATTTAGTATCCATCTGTCCATTCTTTTCTTAGCTGTATCCTCACACACACACACACACACAAAAAAAAACCCCCATCAATGTCACTGACAGCCCAGAGTTTCTCTTAAAACTCACTTGCCATTAAACAAATGAACCCAGAGGTTTTAAATATGGAAAATGGCTTTGTCATGTTCTTACCTTCCTTTATTCAAAGTTAAAGTAAACAAAATGGTACATACACTAAGGTGTGACATGCCCCTCTCATGTTCTAATTTTTAATCACTTTGAATCATAGAGGGGGAGTGTAATTCGTATCACCCTATTATTTCCTCCTCCTTAGACTAAGAGCTGAATAAGATTATGCAGTTTAAGACCTCTTTCCCCAATTCTATGCCAATCCTCTATCTAATAAACAAGCAAAAAACTCCCCTAACCCATTTGTCCTGCTCTCCCAGAGATGAATTTTGCCTCCTTTGCAAAAATAATTGCTAAATATACGATATTCAGTAAACATCAAATAATTTAAAAGGGTAAGCCCAGAAAAATGTGGGGAAACTCTTCCCTTAATATTCCTAATTCTATAACTTGTGGCAAAGTTAATCACATATGCCTTAAAAATGTGAATTACAAACATATTAC